TGCAAATTTGTTTGTTAGTTTAAGTTAACAGTGACAACAAAAGCACTATTTTTGGCCAGAGTTGGGCTACTTTTACATATGTTCTAAACTGGAGTGAGTGAATTGGTAATTTGACACCTGAAACAATTGATAAAGACTAGTTCATTACCCTCAGAAACAATGTCTGTGGGTGTGATTCTGATCAAATCCCTGGCCATATCAACAGCGTTAAAAGAAAATATCATGTAGTTGTAGATACTTGACATTATCATTTAACAGCATGTAACAATGTGTTTAGTTAATGGCTGACAATTCCATGATCGTTATATCTATTTTTAAATTTGTATACATTTTAAATCAGAAGTAAGAAGTGATTAAGTTTTGCAGAAAAGTAAGTACCTTGAGGGTTTAAAGATAATTTTTTTAATTTAATGGGATACATTCAGTAGGAGAGACGGTATCTAACCAATATTAAGTCACAGTGATTCTCTTCTCATACATTATAATTCATTTACATGAGATGAGTATACATTTTTGTCTGAGGGAAGATTTTATTTTTAATGTTTATGGATTCAGAACCTTCTGACACAAAATATCAACTTGGTACTTATGATGAAAAGCAATGTGTGTTATTACATTCAGGAAAGTGGTATGAATGCCCCTGAATAAAGAACATACTGAAAGATGAGAGATAGATGTTGTTTGAACAACAAATTCTGCATTTTCAAATACAAAATCCTTGGTTTTCATTGTTTAGACACCATCTGCCATCCTTCAGTATGATCTGTCAGAGGCAATCCATTCTGCTGACTAAAAAACTTGAAAATTGGTGTTTGCTGCTTCTCTGCCAATCATTCAGTGATCAGGAGTAAGAACAAAGACTGGACTGCTCAGAGTTGGATAAGGTGACATGTCTTCTTCCCATCTGTAACCTAGTGAACTATCACTATCCAGCTCAGTATGTCAGTGTAGTACAAAGCAAGGATTCATATATGAACCTGATCTCGTCCTGAATATGCATGTATTAAGTGCCACTGGACTTAAAAAATCCATCCACCCCACTGCTTTCACATTAGGGACTTTAAACCCAAGGCATAGTATTTGGATTATGTTAAAAGTAAAATTCCCCCAACTAATGAGAAATTTCAGATCCTACGAAATACTCTTGTATTGCCTATGAAAGGAAACATACCCATCTATTTTGATCATGATTATTTAAGCTAAAACTACCTTTCAAATTGTTGTTTACTTTTCTTGTCCTGAATGTCCATGTTATATCTGCTGTAGGACATCAGGCAAATTCATTGAGAGATGATAAACACAACAATAATGACATCACATTATGTCAATAAGAGGGCACATGCTGAAATGTCTCACCTGCTTATTTTTTAACCATAATTGAATAATGATGAGGTGATCAGGGTCAAATGAACCCTGCTAGACAGACATGTTCACCTTACAGTCATTCCACACACCAAAAATAGTTGACCTATCTTATAGTATCTCATAAACTGACAAAACCGTGTAAACTTAACATTGCCTAATGAACCATGAAATAAAGGTCAACCTCATATGAAACCCACCAGACGACGTGTACACCTTACAATCATTGCATACACCAAATATAGTGACCCTATTGCTTATAGTATCTTGAGAAAAATAGACCAAACCACAAAAAGTACACATCACTCAATGAACGATTAAATAAGGTCAAGGTCAGATAAAATCTGCCAGACAGACATTTACAATCATTCCATGCACCAAATATAGTTGACCATTGCTTATAGTATCTGAGATGCGGACTGGACCACCAAACTTTATCCTTGATCACTTATCCATGAAATGATGTCAAGGTAAAGTGAATCCTCTCTGACAAACATAAAGATGTTGCAAGGAACCCATGGACCACCAAGCTTCAACCTTGATCACTTATCTATGAAATGAGGTCAAGGTAAAGAGAATGCTGTCTGACGAACATGTAGACATTGCAAGGAACCCATATTCCAAATAAAGTTATCCTATTACTTGTAACAAGTGAGAAATTCACGACAAATGAACTAATTTTTTTTCAAGCAGTTGCTGAACCATGAAAATGAGGTCAAGGACACTGGACATATGACAGACAGAAACTTCTTAACATAAGTTATCTGCATACAAGGTATGAAGCATCCAGGTCTTCTACCTTCTGAAATATAAAGCTTTATACAAATAGTTTATGCCGTCGCCGCCGGATTGTAATCATTATATCCTATCTCATTGGCAATCATACCACATCTTATTTTTATACTCCAAACCTTCAGAGGCAAATCAGGAATTCTCCAGCAGTGTTAGCTGACAGACAGAATAATTTCCATGATACATCCAAAAATACATTTACATAAGTGGTTTTACATAACACAAAATAAAATAAAAAAATAAGAAGATATGATATTACTGCCAATGAGACAACTAACCAAAGCAAATATAGGCAACTGTTAACCTTCAACAATGAGATTAATCCATAATGTATAGTCAACTATTAAAGGCTCGACATGAAAAATGTAAAATAATTCAAATGACAAAACTAACGAACAAATTCATAACAAAACAAGATCATTACTGTAATTAATTAAACATGTATCCTTTAAGCCTTCAAACACTGGTTAACAAGCAGATGCAGATGGATGAAACAGCAATACAAATAAACATGTGGACATAACAGTACTATATACCCCTACTATTGCTAGGGTGGCAGAGGGTATAATACAGGCAGTGATGTTTTAGAATGGCTATGAGCAAATCATGAATAAAGCTCATCACAATCTTGCCAATATATACCATAATGTAGAAATTAAGGCAAACTTTCAATTTTTTTATTCATTTTTTCAATTATTAAAAACAAACTCAACAAGTTGATAAAAGTAATAATTTATAAATACAATTTTTGAATCAATATAAATCATTTTGTATTTAAAAATTTATAGTATTAAACAACAAAAAAGATAAATTAATATAAATGCAATAAAATCAACAAATAAATATGGTCTCATTATTTAATCACATTTATGATCATTAAATAATGACGGTTAAAGCTGTAATATATTACATATTTTTAGTCTCATTACATACAGGGCCATCCTGAATAAATGACCCAAAAACTGAAAAATATCACAACTAATGTCAATGCCGTTTTATTTAAGGGCATATGAAACAAAAACAAGTGCAAATAATAACACATCCAAATGTAACAGCATTTTTTGCAAAATTGCAACTGATTACCATTAAAAATTTCCATTAAAAATTCACCAAAAATATACATCATCAAAATTGTTTTGTAATTTGATAGAATTCGCAAAGGAAAACAAACATGCCTGGTGTTCAATGGTTGTCATTTGTTGATGTGGTTCATAAGTCTTCTTGTTTCTCGTTTTTTATATAGATTAGACCGTTGGTTTTCCTGTTTGAATTGTTTTACACTACTCATTTTGGGGCCTTTTATAGCTTGCTGTTCAGTGTGAGCCAAGGCTCTGTGTTGAAGGCCGTACTTTGACCTATAATTGTTTACTTTTTACACATTGTGACTTGGATGGAGAGTTGTCTCATTGATACTCATACCACATCCTCTTATTTATATGTATACTGAAGTACAAGAAATCTACTGCAATAACATAAATTTCAAGGCAAATTAAGACTGTTTACCTTTTGTCATCAATAAAATGCAATTATGACAGTAATTTGTATAACATTATGAGGTGAGCCAGGAATAGCTACACAACAATGTTACATTCAGAATACACTGCAATGTTATTTAGCACCCAGAATAGGGAAATGGAATCTCCAACATTGATAAAATAGATTTTCTGTGTTAGCTCAAAATTAAGCACATGGACCTCAATTTATTTCTCTTGCAATAGATTGAGTAGTACTTCCAGAATATATATCAAAATTGCAAACAAAAGTCAACAGAATTTATTTTTTGCTTAATGCATTAGTAGTGGCACAAAAATTGTCAACATCTGTTTGAAAGGAGTGGTTTTTTTTTTTAATAGTATCAAAATACTGTCAATTCAGAAACTATTGCGTGCATTTATTATTGCGATTTTCAAAGAATGGACCAAAATGCGAGATTAAATATTGCGATTTTAGGACAAGCTACATAGAGATATGTGTATCAGTTGTCAGAATGCGAGTTCTTATTATTGCGATACTTACCCAGTCACATTATTCACATTAATAAAAACCTCGCAATAATTTCAGAATTTACATTATGACAATTTGCATTTATTACTTGAAACATGCAAAAATCAAACTGAAATATCTCAAAAGGTAGTCATCAAAGTATATTTTTCTTTTAATATTTCAGATTGCAGATCAACATCAACTTTGTGGAAAAATTTCAAAGATAGAAATTTACTAACAAGGCTATATATTAAGTCAATTATCTAACATCTTACACAACTCAAACAAAAAATTAGATGACAGCTTCTGATTATTTATCCTAAAAATAGTAATTCTTCTGCTTGTATGTTTTACATCCAGATATGTTTTAGTTGTTTGATTTATTTTAAAATATCAGAATCATTATGGGGGTAAAAGTTGAGTTGTGGTCTTTATATGGATTTGTAGAAGGATACACTTTTTTGTGTTGGGTACTGTTTTTTTTTTAGTGGTGGCGACTCTTAAGTCTGCTTACAACTTATATCAAATGAAGGCTATGGTCTTTGCTGCTGTAACACTGACCTTAGACCAAGTGACCTCAAATCAATAGGGATCTTTTTCACACCCAAGCTGCATTACCACCGAAGATTGGTTAAGATATTATTTATTCTTCAGAAGATATTGTCATGAAAGAATTTATTTTTAAATTTCAGTCTACCTGTACTGTGACCTTGACCTATGACCCACTGACTCAAAAATCAATAGGGGTCTTGTTCTTTCATATGCATTTTCAAGGTTAGTTTGGTGAAGGTTGGACATAATTCAAAAGGTTTCACCTGAAAATTTAAAATTTTAATTTCTTCTGTTACCTTGACCTTTACCTAGTGACCTCAAAATTGAGTTTTTGTCATTACATTGCACTGTAAGCTTGACCTACTGGCCAAAAGTTCAATATGGGTTTTCTTCTTTATAAGGAACATTCTTAATCTAAAGTTTTGTAAAAGTCCAACATATGGTTAAAAATTATCCAGAACTAAAATTTTGCCATAATTTCAGTCCATAACATGATAAATAGCTGTTGTGACTGTGACCTTGACCTTTGACCTCAAAATCAATAGGGTCTTCTCCTAGGGCATTATCAAACCAAGTTTTATTATGATATTGTACATGACTGAACGGATTTAGTCCTGAAACCAAAATGTAGGCATTACAATATATAAAATAGATAATGAGATAGACATAAAAAAAAAGATATTCTGGTTCATTGCTGTTATTTGTTAGTTGATAAAAGTTTTAAAAATCCTCACCTCTGACATTGTGTAATAATAATTAAATAATTTTTTAGTAGGGAGATTTAAAAAAAATATGTTTGTACAAAAACATTAGTGCAAACTTCTATTTCAAATAAAGCTACACAAAATGTAAGCAAATAATTTTACAGAGGATCCAAGCATTAACAAATAATATAACAAGATTTTCCTATGGAAATCTATCTCTGTTCAGATCTTTAGATATTATCACACATAAGTGTTTTGACAATAAAAAGGTTCTATCTGAATATTAATAGTGTTTTACCCAAATACAAAATACTTCAGGTTTGACAGGCAGACAAGTAAGAGAGCGAATACACAATACTGTAAATTCAGAAATTATTGTGTGCATTTATTATTGCAAGTTTTGAAGAATTAACAAAAATGTGACTTTAATTATTGCGATTATAGGAAAAGCTACATACAGATATATGTACTCAAGAAGTCGCGTTATTCACATTAATAAAAATTTTGCAATAATTTCTTAATTTACAGTTATTCTTCTTCCCATTTCCTGTTTCAAACAAAGCAGTGGTTCAAATTATATGAATTGGCACATATTGGAATTGTCTATTTTGTCTATGATGATCACATATATTGTACCTATGTATAAAACAGGCAACCAAAAATGGTTGGAACTAAAAATATTATAGAATGATGACATAAAAGCATAACAAATAATTGTCATAAAGTTGAAATACAGTAAAGCTATACACATTAATGTCTTGTAAGATTTTGGAGTTAAACGAAATTGCAGAGAAAATTATAGTTCATATCTATCAATTGATATTCATAATCTTAAAGCCCATTTAACTATAAAGGCTATGAACTTACAAAAATTTAAGTCTTATAACATGCTTGAAAATTAACAATAATTTGTTACTGCAGATTACAATTTCAAAATTATCTCCAAGTCATAAAAACATAAGGCAACAATCCATTGAGGATGTTTCATAAATAATCTGATTTCTTATACTATGAAAAGGTAGATATAAATGTGTTTTTCTGGAACTTCCAAATACTTTTCATTAGGATGAGTTCCTGTGTTTGAAAAGAGTGTGGACAATTCAAATTGATTTTACTGTGCAGGACACGGCTTGTACTGAATTTTAATCAACTTCTTCATCACCATAAGATACAGATAGAAAACTAGCTGAATTTCTTAGCAAACGTTGAAAAATGATGTCTTGCTTTTTTATTTCAAATCATAAAGTAAAATTATATAAATAATGCTTCATATATAACATATTGGCCAATCAGCTTCACATGTTTTCATTTATGGGCAAATAACATGTGAAAAGTTAGTGGCAAATGATTAAAATGGTGTTTTATACATTCTACAAGTCATTTAAACTGTGGAACATTTCAATGGTTTTCAAATACCAGTACATGCCTTCACTTCAGAATTCTACCCCATCTTATTCTAGAAATCTGGAGTAATGACATAAAGCAGTGAAGAAGCCTTAAACCATGTAAGTTTGATATTTGTAGTTAACCCGTTCTCCCAAGTATTAAAATTGATTAATTACATCTAAATACATGTAATTCATAAAATGGTAACAAAAACAATTGATGGTTAATGTAATTTCTATGATATTAGCATATATATATCTGCTTGATTTTCTCTGTCTTCTTTGTGATGATGTCTTGATTTATAACCAGAGTTCTGTAACTGTGTAGGTGGTATTCTGTTATGATGAATCCCATAACCAGCCGACCACTTGTCTTAAGTAATGTCCCTTAGTGAGCCTTAAGTTATGTCCCTTAGAGCACACGCTTTTTGCATCTGTTAAAAGTTTAAACACTGGTAGGTGATTTATTTGTAGCACCCTGTGATGGTTTATGATGCCTCTTTAAGTGGATCTTCAGTGTACTGTTTTGAGCTGTTGCATACTCACAATATGTACATTTAAATGGTTTTTCTCCTGTAATAAAACAACTAAATAATTTAAGATAAAACAATTAAAACATATGTGTACATGTACAAAATAAGTTACAGAAAGTCCATATACTACAGTGAAACCCAGCTAATATAAACCCTTTCTGAACTTAGACTTACAGTTTTTTCTTATGTTGTGTTGTAGCAGTTTAGGGGAGGATTGAGCACTCACAAACATGTTTAACCCTGCCACATTTGTTATAAGCTTGTCCCAAGTCAAGAGCATGTATTTCAGTGGTTGTTGTTGGTTCATGTCTGTCATATTTGTTTTTCTTAAATTGTTTAGTTACTAATTAAGTAGGTAGTTTTCTCGTTTGAATTTTTTCATGTCAGGGCCTTTTGTTGCCGACTAAATTATAAGGGTTTTTTATACGACCACAAAATTTTAGTGTATAATGGTATGACGTTGTTGTCTTCCTAAGACATTTGGTTTCCAGACAATAACTTGGGTACAATTTTATGGATCTCTATGCAAATGTACCACAAGGTTCCATACCACAAAAGGACAGTTGGGATTGATTTTGGGGGTTAATATACTAACTGTTTAGAAATTAGGGAAAGAGTGTATAAGTGTATGGATCTCTAGAAATTGTACCAATTGGGGGTTATAGCCCTAACCTTTCAGGAAAAAGAGGCCAAAAACAATACCTTTCTAATACTTAATATAAATTGCTTCTTTCTTAAGCAATTTCAAAGGGGTTTAATTCTAGAATTCTTGGGGTTCTTTAATATGCTGAATATTGGGCCCATTTTTAAATTGGTCCACATTGAGGACCAAAGGGTTCGATATCAAATTTCGTTTGATTTCAACAAAAATAAAATGCTTAGCCCAGCACAGCCTGATACGACCGCAGAGGTCGAACCCTGAACAGTTGGGGCAAGTTTGGACACAATATTCAAGCTTGATACTGTCTGAATTTGGATTGTGATCAAATTTTTGCCAAATAATGTAGGTTTCTAACACAAAATAAATGTGGTCAAAGATCTTAAAAATTTGAAATGGGACATTTAATTTACCTAGTATGGTCTGATATCCAAAATCTAACAGCATGGTTAGATTCAGCATTTAAAAAAACATCAAAAATTTAATTTTAGTTGAAATCAAACAAAGATTAATTTGGACCCTTCAAACCTTAATATGGACTAATTTGAAAACAGGGCCCAAAATAAAAAATCTAAATGCACAATAAGATTCAGCATATCATAGAGCCGCAATAAATCAGTTTTTGATGAAATCAAACAAAGTTTAATTTTGGACCCTTTGGACCTCAATGTAGATGAATTTAAAAATGTGGCCCAATATCCAAAATAGTAATACAAGGTTAGGACCCCCAAAAATTAAAGACTTTAAATTAATCCCATTGAAATTGGTTAAAAGATTTGTATTTATTTTCAATTGAAGATTTCTTGCTATTGCGCAATACTGTGCTGTTGCGCAATACTTAGTTAATCTGTTATATATAATAATTTACACACCCTGTTTGGTGTGTATCTCCTGACATATCAGTATTTGTTGCTCTTTTTATATAAATCAGAAATAATCAATGTAAAAATGGAAAATTTTGGGGAAAAAAAACCCAAAAAATTATGAAAAAAAATCCTCCCAAAAAAATTGTCCCTGACCCCCAAAAATTGGGTTTTTTTTTAAATTTGAAATTTTGAAAAATCTTGAAGAAAAAATTATGAATTCCCCAAATAAAAATTAAAAAAAATCCCCCTCCCCCAAAAAAAATTTTCAAAAATTTTGAAGAAAAAAATATGAACCCCCAAAAAAATGTGTCTTTGGAATATGACAACGACGACATAATAGCATTATACGAACGGAAATTTTTTGCTGTAGTATAAAAATGAAATCTTGCTGTTCCTTGATATCCTGAATCTAGCTGTGTATATAGCTTTCTATTTTTGGGCCCCGTTTTTAAATTGGTCCACATTAAGATCCAAAGGGTCCAAAAGAAATTTTTTGTTAAGATTTTAAGAGAAATTAAGTTCTTGGGGTTCTTTGATATGCTGAATCTAAACATGTATTTAGATTTTTTGTTTTGGGCCCAGTTTTCAAGTTGGTTCAAATTGGGTCCAAAATTAAACTTTGTTTGATTTCAACAAAAATTGAATATATGGAATTCTTTGATATGCTGAATCCAATCGTGTATTTTGAGCCCCATTATCAAAAAGGTCCACATTGAGGTCCAAAGGGTCCAAAATTAAGCTTTGTTTGATTTCATCAAAAATTTAATTCTTTATATTCTTTGATATGTTGAATCTAACAATGTATTTAGATTTTGGATATTGAACCATAATAGGTAAATGTCCAATTTCAAATTTTTAAGTTCTTAGACCACATTCATTCTGTGTCAGAAACCTATGCTGTGTCAAATATTTAATCACAATCCAAGTTCAGAGCTGTATCAAGCTTGAATGTTGTCTCCATACTTGCCCCAACTGTTCAGGGTTCGACCTCTGTGGGCGTATCAAGCTGGGCCCTGGGAGTATTTTATTCTCATTGTTGAAGGCCCCAATTCCATTTATCCCACAAGTCTGTTCATTTCATGTTAAGTTCAATGATTAAATACACGGACTGTATTGCCTTGGACATTCAAATATTTATCTCCTATTCATAATATGCACCAAAAGGTCTAGTTCTTTCCTGGTACTCCGGCTTTCATCCACCAACAAAAACTAACCGCCATGAAATAGCACAATAGTGCTGAAAGTGGTATTCAACACCAATCGATTAACAAAACAATCAATAATATCCACCAATAACATCATAATAATAAAATTCTAGAAAAATATTATATTCTTTATATAATTTTGTGAACAAACTGCCCAGCATCAATTGTAAACAAATAGGAATTTTACCTAGTTCTCTCCCTTGGCATCTAGATAAATCTTTGACGTAAGATGTTTATATTGGCAGCCTTGTTGTTTTAGTTGGAACCTGACATAAACATTTGCACATAATTTCATTTACCACTGATATCAAATAACAATACAGCTATGATCACAAAATGGTTAACCTCACAATATTTCCACAGGGATTTGACTTTATTGCTAAAGTAGATAGGCAAAAGTCAAAAAGATAAAAGAAAAGTGGTGCATCAGTCTAATATGAAAAGACACCTATCTATTGTTTGATACTGTTTGTTGGCCTTTGAATTTGTCTTTATTTGATGTTAGGTTGCTGTCTCGGTGAAGTATACTCCCCCTTTTTTTATTCATCTTTATTAGTACACGATAAAATACAAACCTGTGTGAATTCTTATGTGAACTTTGAGATGACTTCTTTCTACAGTGGAATAACTGCACTGTTGGCATTTAAATGGTTTCACACCTAAAACAATAATTCAGTTTATTCAGGTGTCACAGGTCAAATTTATTCGTTCATTGTGTGTTAATTTACGATTTTTTGATTGAGTTAAGCCTTCCAATTGATATTTATAGTGTGTTTTTCTATGTTGTGATGTTATACTATTGTTTCACAAAAGGGAGATGGTTTGGTACCATTAAAACGTTTAATCCCGCTGCAAATGTTTGCACCTGTCCTAAGTCAGGAATCTGATTACAGTAGTTGTCGTCTGTTTATGTAGTTCATACGTGTTTCTCGTTTCTCGTTTTTATATAGATTAGACCGTTGGTTTTTCCGTTTGAATGGTTTTACACTAGTAATTTTTTGGGGCCCTTTATAGCTTCCTGTTCGGTGTGAGCCAATGCTCCGTGTTGAAGGCCGTACCTTGACCTATAATGGTTTACTTTTATAAATTGTAACTTGGATGGAGAGTTGTCTCATTGGCACTCATACCACATCTTCCTATATCTATTTAGCATTAGAAATTCAACTTCCATGGAAAATGTTTATGTTCAAGATATTGTGTAGTGTGTGTACTGTGCATTTCATAGACTCGCTAAATTCTTATTTTTTTCTAATATCAATACTCTATTTCTCTAGAAACTGATCCCTTTTTCACAGACTTATTCTAAAATATACTTATTTCTAAAAATAATATGGACAATAAGTCCATTTATGTTTTCCTCCTGTTTGTATTTTCTAAAATCTAATTTGCCTTGGTTGTCTTTTTTCAATAGATAAATATCTGAGACAGATCATTTATAATCTTTGCTTGTAAAGTGTGAACATATGTCTCACTATTGACAAATTTGTTACATATATATTACATGTACTTCAAAGTCATTAATGATGTTAAACAAGCAACAATCAATCAATCTAAGTCATTCAGGACATTCAGGACATTAAACAAGCAGCAATCGATCAACTCAAGTATTTGAAAAATAATGAAAATTTCGGTACTTAAATCATGTAAATCAATAATACGTATCTAATATCTCGTTTCATTCCTATCTTGTCATCAAAATAAAGTATAAAATACCTGTATGTTTACTCATATGTTTTTTTAAATGAATTCTTTGGTTAAATGCACTGTCACACTTTTCACACTTGAATGGTCTGGAAGTTGGATAACGTCTTTTCCTTGATGGATTCTGTTCGCCATCTTCGCTGTGATTTAAGTCAATCTCCAACCTGTTAACGGATCCATCGTTTTCTGCAGCTGAATTAACTGATTTCTCCATGTCACCTTCCCTTGCTTGTACATTTTCAGTTCCCATCCTAAATCTGTTGGATATGGTTTCAGTTAATTTGTTAGCTGTGTATGCAGTACTCTGACTGACTGTAGATGCCTCTGTCTGGAATGTGTGCTTGGATATAATTAATGGTCTCAATGATCCATCGTTTTGAGTGCTGAGTGAATAAGAAATGGGTATAGAGAACACAGCTCCAGGAGGAAGAATGACAGATCCTTTCCCTTTTGATCTGTTTAGATAACTACCACTGTCTCTAGATAATCCAGACACTTCATAGCCAATCCCGCTGACAGCTGCAGGGAAAGCCATATCATCACTACTTGTGTTAGATTTTTGAGACAGTGTTCCATCCTCATTGGGTTCAAGGTCTATAAAAATAGTTCCACTGTTCTTTTTGTCACTACTGCGGCATGACCTGATGGTATTTGAATCAGAGAGTCTACGCATAAGCTTATTTCTCAACGATAAAGTATGCTTTGTTTCAAAATGTCTTTTTCTTTTTTTTGGAACTACAGCATTGCAGCATTTTTTAAGACCTTCATGAGTTCCTGGAATTACTGTTACCCCACATTTTTGACTATCACAGCAACCTATATTAGTATTTTCTGAAGTCTCTCCTGTACTTTCATTGCTGTTCAGAATTTGAGTTGATGATGGTGATACTTGAATAATATCTGGTTCAATATTGTCAGATGATTGCAATGTGTTAACAGCAATTTCTTTGTATACTTCTAAATCTTGATTATTTGATTCTGAATGTTTATTTACATCTGCAACCAACACTGGACTGGTTCCTTGTTTATCTGTCAGTGAGGAAACTAAAACAGGACTTGCCTGTTGTGATTCTATTCTTTGGTTCCCAATCTGAACCCCTGTCAATACTTGACTAGATGTTTGCCCATTCGTTTGTGTTGTCATACTGAATGAAACATCTGGCTGTTTAATCACCTGTGTATCTACTGATAATAAATTGGTTTGGTTGGATGTGTCAACACTTTCAATAGATGACTGGTTTATCTCAGTTACCTGCCTATGGTGAACATCTGTCAATGCTAGGCTATTTTCTTGTGTATTCATATTCTCAGCTGCGTGAATTGACTGTTGATTCACCTGATTGTCAGAAGCTGACTGACTTGTGAACTCTTTATTTAATACAGGAAAGAGAACCCCTGATTTCATAATGGCACTTAACGTATGGCTTGATATATTTTCATTTGGACTAGTCATTGTTGTAGCATTATTTTCAGAAGTAACAACTGGTGCAGATGTTTGATTATTCACTATTGAAGAAATGTCTGATTTTGAAATGTCTTTACGAGAGTCAAATTGTGTTTTGCTAAGCTGTTTATTGCCCAAACTTAGTCTTTGCACAGGATTAGTATGAAGATTTAACAGTGGTAATCTAACATTGCTTATATTTATTTCATTGTTTTTAGATACGTTTGAATGCTTGACCATTATCGAAGAACTTGGTCTGCTTAGACTTTCTGTTTGGATTTGGCATGGATTGGATGCTAGTTGTAGATTTGAAATGTCTCTTTCAGACTGGTGTAAGTCCATGACATGTGGCTGATTTGAAGTCAACAATATTCCTTCAGACCCATTTTCTAACTGATCATCCCTTTCTAAAGACCTGTCTAAGGACTGCCTAATGGAATGAATCATAGACTGATCTATCATTCTTTTTGCTGCATCTGTTTCTTGAGATACAGTAACCTCTTGAATCCCTGTTATACCAGAACTTCTTTGAAGAAACAGTTTAAACTTATGGATTGTTTGAGCATGTCTGAGTAGTCCAACTGCTGTCATAAATCCCTGAGGACAGGAACCACAAACCAACTCTACAAGTAAATACTTATATTTAATACATATACAATGCGTAACAATGAGAATAGGCAAGTTTTCAAGTGATTTTATTTACGGTTTTAGTACAGATATACAGTAGTGTTGTTTCAGGTTCTTTATATAAGTTCTAGTGACTTACTGAGGAGAACTTACATACAGTGCATGAACATAAGTCTTTATCACATACAATTTTTTGCAATATATTTCATTTAGTAAAAAAAAATTTAAAAGGGTTTATGGTTTGATCTTGAAAGAAGAATTGTCTGACATTTATTTTGTTTATGTCATTATTTTGTCTTCAATTGTTTTTGTTTTCCTCTAATGTGTATGCCCAATTTAATTCAGTTGAAACATATACATGATATATAGCATATTTCTGGACAAAAAATAATTCTTGTGATTACAAAATTGAGCAAAATAAGAATCAATGTATCAAATAAAAGTGACAATTCTGCTTCTAAAAGTAATGTGGTTTTTGTACAAAAAACCCGCTGCATTTGTTAGCACTTTTCCTAAGTCAGGAGCCTGTTCAGTGGTTGTCATTTGTAGATGTGGTTCATAAGTGTTTCTCGTTTCTCGTTTTTTATATAGATTAGACCGTTGGTTTTCCTGTTTGAATTGTTTTACACTAGTCATTTTGGGGCCCTTTATAGCTTGCTGTTCGGTGTGAGCCAAGGCTCTGTGTTGAAGGCCGTACTTTGACCTATAATTGTTTACTTTTTACACATTGTGACTTGGATGGAGAGTTGTCTCACTGGCACTCATACCACATCTTATTTCTATATACACTAAAAATTGAAAGTGACATAAAGTTATGTCTATGTGCTTACACTTCTTTATGTGTTTAAACTTCTTTAATTCATTTTGAAAGCTTTTGAATGCAGCAAAGTGTTTTACACTTTTGTGTAAAGTGGTATGTAAATAACATGGTTCTTTGAATTTTTGCTGGGATTTTATTATTGTAGGCTATTTGATTTTCTGATTTTTAACAAATTCTTCATACAAGCCAATAATAAATTTGTATTTAAATGTATTTCATGAAATTCACCAAAATTTATAGTACTTCATGAAAAATAATGAATACACAGCAGATAAAAATTTTCGGACAAGTCAAGAAAATGTGGTGATTGTTTTGGAAACTTTGGTAGTGACACAACCATCATTTGGCATTTGTATGTCTTGCTTTGCGGTTAAAAACATTTGCAGTATGATTATCTTTCTCAGACTCAGAATTCAAACAAACAAAATGCTTGATTTGGTGTTTCGAGCACAAATTTTGTACTCTGAAGCACTGAGTAAAGTTTTATAACAGAAGTCCCAGATCTGTGTTGCTATACTAACCAGCATTTGAAGTAGCAGCTGTTTCCACAGATTCCTGACAGTTTTGTTTTTTATGTTCAATAAAAGATGTGATCCTATCCAGTCGAAACTCAGACATACATTTACCACACGTCAAATAATCCTCTTCTTCTTCCACTGAAATTATAAAAAATAAAATGCTTCGCTGAGTGCAGCCTGATACGACCGCAGAGGATGAACCCTGAACAGTTGGGGCAAATTTGGACACAATATTCAAGCTTGATACTAAAATTGAGAATGGAAATGGGGAATATGTCAAAGAGACAACAACCCGACCAAAGAGCAGACAACACTGTCTGAATTTGGATTGTGATACAATTTTTGACATAATATAGGTTTCTGACACAAAATAAATGTGGTCAAAGATCTTATAAATCCATTGCGCAATACTGAGCAATTGAAGATTTCTTCTTGAAACTTTTCAAAAATTCGAAATTTTAAAAAAATTGGGAAAAAATCCCCCCCCCCCCCCCCCCCCCCCCAACTTTTTGAAACCCCCCTTGGAGCAATAACCCCAGCCTTTCCTTTGTAGTATGGAACCTTGTAGTACAATTTCAGAGAGATCCATACACTTACACACAAGTTATTGTCTGGAAACTAGAAAAATGCTTGTTTTTGGCCCCTAATTCCTACATGTTTGGGGCAATTAACCCCAAACTCAATCCCAGCCTTCACTTTGTTATATGGAACCTTGTGATACAATGTCAGAGAGATCCATACACTTACACACATTATTGTCTGGAAACTAGAAAAATGCTTGTTTTTGGCCCCTTTTTGGGCCCTTAATTCCTAAACTGTTGGCCCCATAACCCGTAAAAAAACTCCCAACCTTCTACTTGTGGTATTAAACATTGTGGAACAATTTCAGAGCAATGGAAATACTTATAGACAAGTTATTATCCTGAAACTAGAAAAATGCTTGTTTTGAGCCTCTTTGTGGGCCCCTAATTTCTAAACAGTTGGGACCATCATCCCCAAAATCAATCCCAACCTTCCTTTTGTGGTATTGAACCTTCTTAAAAAATTTCATAGAGATCCATTCACTTAAACTAAAGTTATTGTCCAGGAAACCAATGTGTCTTCGGACAACGACGAAGACAACAACGACGCAGATGCAGACGATGACGACATCATACCATTATACGATCCCAAAAAATGTTTTGCGGATGTATAAAAATATATTGGTTGTACTAACAATTGGCACTCTTAAAATAATCCCCATCTTTTTGATATTCTGTGGATAATTGCTTTTGGCAGTCAGCATGGTCAGGAAAGCGATTTTCTGTTACTGAGAAGCATACCTTACCATGAAACCTCAATGTTGACCCATGAAAAATGAAAACGAGTTCAATGTCAGATGAACCCTGTCAGACTTACAACCACACACAAGGTGATTCAGATAATAAACAGCTGCGCTATGAGGGCACAATACGCCCGTCACATTTTTTACGAATAAAATTCAATAACTTCTCAATGTCATATCAGAAATTTGTGAAAAACTAAAGGCAGGTTATCTTAATTGATATAAACCAGTCACCAAAGTTTAATGAAAACTGCTCAAAGCACTTTAAAGGTACATATATTGTCCGAAAACTAGAAAATCACCCCTTTTTTATGAAGTGTTTTTGAGTTATTGTCCGACATGTGGACGATGGACAGACGGACGGACGGACAGACAGACAACGGTATACCATAATACATCCCGTAAACGGGCGTATAAAAATCACTCATATGGTGAATGTTCTCTCTGAAATACCTCTCTGTATATAGATAGTATGTGACAGGGTCTTAAATCAGTGTTATCACACAATCTGTGATTTACTGTACACTAGCAAATTGGACATTTTCTTATTGAATTTACCATTCACCTACTGTACCTAGCAGAATAAATCATTTTCTGTGCATGGATTAAAAATAAATTTGTTAACCTTAAGAACAATGAAGAATGCAGACAATCATCTTATAACAATATTGAAATGTAAGACAATATACATGTTACAGTATATAGTGCTCAGTGAATGTACACAAGGACAGCCTAAGGACAGGATGGTTATATTATTATGGTAAATAAATACAAATAATTTAATTTTGGATGTAACATGTCTTCTGATTGGCTGAATGTGTTTTGTCTATCAGCTCATAGACGTAATTTTGTCACGTGACCTTGACGTCACCAACGTTTTTTTCAAAATTTACTCCTTAAAAATGGAATTTAGAATTAAATTATAAGGAATGAATGTAATATCTTTTTCTGTCTATTCAAAATAACCTAAAAAATGTGGTGCACACTTTTAAATAACCCGCTACGCTGGTTATTCAGTGTGCACCACATTTTTTATGTTATTTCTTCATAGACAGAAAAAATATTAGTCATTCATTGAATAAAACAAAGCAGTGTTGTTCTCAAATTAACATACATTGTAAAATTACATCTTTATAATTTTTTTTCATGCTTTTAAAAAAATACATATCTTATAGAGACAATGACTTTCTCACTGTCATGAGTGTAAAGAATTAAATGTTCTGTTTAGTGTTGTGTTCAAATTGTGATATCAAGGTTTACAACTACGTCTACGTTCCCCATATTTAGATAGTCAGTAATATAAATTCTTTACAGTGTGCTAGCTACCTACTATGATATATTCAGGGTCAGTGAATTCCATATGTTTCAAGACCGAGTAGAGATTGAGCCCCATATGGAATTTACTGACCCTATATATATTGTAAAAAATACAAATACAAATATTTTATTGGCACAAACTCATTAACAATAACATGAATAAATGGCTAACACCTATTACATATATAATTATATTAATTGACATGATAGAATGAAAAGTTACATATTAAGGTAGATGGGGGGTCTAATCAAAATCTATAGAATTTTTTTTATAATTTACAAAAATGTAGTTTATATCATGCTTTTTTCAAAAATATAATAAAACGTATGGGTCACTGGGCTTCTTGTCAAGCTACAGGTTGTGCAAAATTGTCAGATTTTGTATAGATTATGCAAGAAAACTCCTATTTAGTGTGATAAAAAGAAAACTAAACCATAGCATTTAAAGATAAATAAAATAAAGAGTTCCAATGTCCCCCCCATTGCATATATTTTTATCTATCCAAGGGCAATAACTAAAGAAGTACTTTTTTTTGTTCTTTAAAACAATTTATAAATACCTCAGAGATTTGAAGGCTTCAGAGCAAATGCAATGCAATTTCAGTGTTAATAAATTTTTCCAAGGAGCATAACTCATTAAAAATATTTAATCAGCACTTATTTACGAAAGTGTCTAAGACATTGCTGAAATAAACCTATGATATAAGTTTCATAAAATTCTTGCAAGAATTATACACATGAGAGCGCTAACAATGCAATTTTCCATATAATCAATATTTCCAAGGTACATAACTCTTTTAAAAAAAATTGATCGGCTCCAATTTTCAAATTTGTCTGAGACATTGATGATATAAACCTATAATATAAATTTCATAAAAATCTGGCAAGAATTGTACACATGAGAGTGCTAACAATGCAATTTTCCATATAATCAAAATTTCCATAGGTTATAACTCTTTTAAAAATAATTGATCGGCACTGATTTTCGAACTCATCAAAAACATTGATGATATCAAGGTTTACAACTACGTCTAAGTTTTTTTTTATTATTAATTGTTTTTGGCTTTTAACTAGCTGTCAGTAACTGCGAGTACTCTCAAATCGTACTTTCTTGTTTATTTGACCTGTTGATACTAATTGTAATGCTTTTTGTTATTTAATTATATGTTATTCAGGGTTATATCTGGTCTATATACCACCTTTGATAAGTGTTTGCTATTACTATAAATTTTCACTTCTTCGTACTATGAACATCAAAATTATTTATTTTGTAAAAATATTTCCTTTCTCTATTTGAACTGTACACGTATACCTAACAACAAAATTATTTTCATTTACCTGTGTTTAAAGTAATTGCAAATGGCTGATATTTTTGTTCAAGCATATTGTTTTTCTTAAATTGTTTAACATTTCACAGCAGTATAACATGTTACTTTAATTATTCTTCCCTTAGTTTATTTATTTTGTATTTACATTGTATCATGGATCAAATTTATTTGTTCTGTGTATGTTCACTGGTGTTAATATGTCTTTTGATTGAGTTAAGCCATTTCAATTGATATTCTATAGTGTGTCTTTCTATGTTGTGATGTTACACTTTTGTTTCAGATAAGGGTGAAGGTTTTGTACCATTAAAACGTTTAAACCCGCTGCAATTGTTTGCACCTGTCCTAAGTCAGGAATCTGATGTTCAGTAGTTGTCGTTTGTTGATGTGGTTAAGTGTTTCTCGTTTCTCGTTTTTTATATAGATTAGACCATTGGTTTTCCCGTTTGAATGGTTTTACACTAGTAATTTTTGTGGCCCTTTATAGGTTGCTGTTCGGTGTGAGCCAAGGCTCTGTGTTGAAGACCGTACTTTGTCCTATAATGGTTTACTTTTATAAATTTTGACTTGGATGGAGAGTTGTCTCATTGGCACTCATATCACATCTTCTTATATCTATGATATAAACCTGTAATATAAATTTAAAAAATCTGGCAAGAATTGTACACTTAAGAGCCCTCATAAGGCAATTTTCCAAATAATTTAATATTTCCAAGGGCATAACTCTTTTAAAAAAAAATGATTAATCGGCACTGATTCTCAAACTCCTCAAAGAGATTTCTGATATAAACCTATGATATAAGTTTCATAAAATTCTGGCAAGAATTGTACACATGAGACTGAGAGCACTAACAATGCAATTTTCCATATAATCAAAATTTCCAAGGGCATAACTCTTTTAATAATAATTGATCGGCACTGATTTTCGAACTCATCAAAAACATTGATGATATCAAGGTTTACTACTACGTCTAAGTTTTTTTTATTATTAATTGTTTTATGAAATTCTAAACGGAGCTTACATCACTAGATATAAACAATTCACCAAGTTTCATAAGAACTGCTGAAATTATTGTCCGAAAACTGGAAAATCCCCCCTTTTTTAATGAACAAGAGTGGACACACTGAAATGTCTCGCCTGTTTTAGTGTTCATAATTGAATTTATGTTGAA